CTTATGCCAGGCGGAACAGGATCCAGAGTTTCCATAGCTTCTGATGTTTTTATAGAAATCTCAACTCCTGCCAAAACCGGTTTGGCTCAGTGGATAGAGCATCGGCCTGTGGACTGAAAGGTCCCGGGTTCGATTCCGGTCAAGGGCATGTACCTGGGTTGCGGGCACATCCCCAGTAGGAGATGTGCAGGAGGCAGCTAATCGATGTTTCTCTCTCATCGATGTTTCTAACTCTCTATCTCTCTCCTTCCTCTCTGTAAAAAATCAATAAAATATATTAAAAAAAAAAAAGAAAGAAAAGAAATCTCAACTCCTGAGTTTTAAGTGTTAACAAAGAATAAATACTCCAAAGCTCAAATGAAACTTGTCAAAGGTTTTGTCCTTGAGCCACATGCTGCCTCTGGTCTGCTGAGCTGGCCCCAGGTGGGCTGGGCTGGACCTTCCCAGAGCCACCAGCACAGCAGCTTTGCTTGGAGCTCCTCCCTCTCCCCCTGTCTCTTCAGTTCTGGGGTGTGCAGCTCCAGGTCAGGTTACTTTAAAGGGCTAGGAGCCTGTGAGGAGAGCCTTCCCTTTGCCCTGGCTAGACCGGTTTGGAGGGAGTGCTGTTAGCAGCTTTAGAAAGAGGGGCCAAAGAGGGTTCTGGCTGTACGACTGAGGGGATCATGTCTTCTCTGTGCCTCAGTATCTTTTTGATCTCTTCATGATATCATGATACCTAGCAAAGCAGGATGCTATGCTGACTACATGCTCGGTTGTCCCTTACTAGCTATGACAAGTTAATTAACCTCCCGTTGCCTTGTTTCTTCACCTAAAAAAGGGAGGGGGGAGAATGGTAATATTTAATCTCATTATGAGAACTAAATGGGATCATATATATTAAATGCTAAGCATAGTGCCAGGGACATCAAAGGCCTTGAACAAATGTTAGTGACTTTTATTACCGGGATACCCACTTAATTCTATAGTTTGAACTTAGAATCACAGACTGTCCAAGTAAGAAGGGGCCTAAGTGAGCTGAGGGCTGACCGGATGCCTAAAGAGAGGAGGGACTTCCCCGGGACAGACAGCTCGCTGGGGGCAGGCCAAGTGCCACCACGGCTGTTCTGTGACAGGGATTTGGGGAGAGCCCCTGGGAGGTGCACCCTGCTCATTAGCCCTTCACCCAAGTGCTGTCCATGATTGGGACTGGACAGTTGCCCGCCTTCCTGCCTGGGCAGCTATGTTGGGGTGCCCACCCTATTTTAGAAGAAGTAGACAGCTCTGGATGGTGTGGCTCAGGTGGTTGCTGTAGTCCCATGCCTCACAGGATTGCAGGTTCAATTCCCAGTAAAGGCACATACCTAGGTTGTGGGGTTGGTCCTCAGTCGATCCTGGTTGGGGAGTGTACGGGAGACAACTAGTCGATGTTTCCTCTCTCACATCAGTATTTCTCCTCCCCCTCCCCCTCTCCCCCCCCTCCCCCTCTTCCTCTAAAATCAATAAAAACATAGCCTCCATGAGGATTGAAAAAACAACCAGGAGGTAGACCAGTGGTTCTCAACCTTGGCTGCACATTAAAATCACCTGGGAATCTTTTTTAAATCCTGATTTCTGAGAACCACTGAGGTAGACAGAGCTGGGAGAGCTGCTAATAGCACTTTTCCTCCCCTGTCCTGCTGGCGGGAAGAAAACACCTAAGCAATCATTACCTGGGTTAATTATCTCCGATGGGAAACAAAAGCTGAGCCAAATGGAAAAAACAGAGCTGGGCTGCATCAGTGTAATACCAGCTCCAAAGGCTAAACAGCCAGAGACCCGGAGGACAAGCCTGTGTTTCAACAAAATCAAACTGACTGACTTGGGGCGTCGAGGCAGCATGGAGTGATGCTGGACAGGGGGAGGAGGGTGTCTTTTCTGAGGTTTGGATTCCCCCTGAAGCTATCAGTCCTGGATTGGCGACTTTCTGAGGCAGGATTGGGGGAAACGAGGATTAACTGGGGGCAGGTGCTGTCAGGAGGCAGGGTGCTTTAGCAATTGGGTGTGGCCAGGAATAAACCAAAAAGTCACAGGGCTCTGGGGGTCTCCTTGGTAAGAAGGCGACCGTTACTCAAATAGGGGGTGACTGTGGCATTGCACAACGGCTGCAGCACCTGGAGGAGAACACAAGTTCCTGTGGGTCTGCCCCCCAGCCTGCCTGGGGAATGGCAGGGCGCTGTGGGTTTTCTAGTCTGAGCTGATTTTCGTGCTTGTATCCTCTTCAGGTTTTTACTCCTTCACAAGCAAGTCAGCCAAGAGTAAAACACAGTTACAGCATCGTTGTTGTCATTTTTATTTCCTTTTGCATGATTCAGTGGCCCAGAGGAAATGGAAGTAGCCAGGAATGGGTCACTAATGTAGAAACCTAGGCAGGGTCTCAACCAAAACCACATGCTTCTGGGAGATTCACCTAGAGACGCCACACCTGAGGCCAAGCCGAATGAAGGCTCCAGGAATGAGCACGTGCTTTGCTCCCCGAAAACAGCACAATGAGAGCAGTTGGGCAAAGAGAAGCCTAGAAAACCCACAGGTTTCTCCCCCACCCCCAATTGGGTGGAAAGGGGACTGTGTGCTTGGCAGTGCCCGAATGGGCATTGTAACACTTGATATTTGTCTCCCATTAGGGATACAGATCATCTCAGACGGAGATGGGCAAATTGCTAGTATGCAGCTTTCCCTCTCCCAGCTGGCAGGAACAAAGTGTGTAGGCAAAAATCAGTTTATATGAATAGTCTCTGATGGCGAACGAAGGCTTAGGTGGATAGAATGAACAAATGCTGGACTACACGGAAGCAAACAAAAATGTGAGATCTTCAGACCAGCATGGCTGGCAGGCTTTTCTTGCAGGGCATTCCCTGTAGAACTAAGGTCCAGACAGGATCGAGAGTCCTCGTACAAAACAGGGATTTTGTTTTTACAGCAAAATTATATTTGAGTAGACATTTCTTCAAAGCAGATACACCAATGGCCAGTAAGCACATGAAAAGGTGTTAAATACTAGATGCCACCTGGGAAAGGCACATTAAAACCACAATGAGCCCAGCTGGTGTTGCCCAGTGGTTGAGCATAGACCCATAAACCAGGAGGTCATGGTTCCATTCCAGGTCAGGGTATATGCCCAGGTTGTGGGCTTGATCACCAATAGCAGGGTGTGCAGGAGGCAGCTGATCAATGATTCTCATCATTGATGTTTCTCTCTCTCCCTTTCCCTTTCTCTCTGAAATCAGTAAAAATATATTTTAAAAAGGACACCGGGACTTAAAAAAAAAAAACCACAGAAAAAACTACAATGAGCCTGCTCTGGCCGGGTTGTCAAGTGGTTAGAGCATTGGCCATGCACCAAAGAGTTTTGGGTTTAATTCCCAGTTAAGTGTGCGTGGGAGGCAACCAATCAATGTCTCTCTCTCTCTCTCAATGTTTCTTTCTCTACTTCCCCCTCCCCCTTTCCCTCCCACACTCTCTGAAGAATCAATGGAAAAAATAACCTCACTCCTCAGGTACGGATTATTAAAAAAAAAAGTTTTCTGTGAATGGAATATTTGGGAAAACCCTCAGGGACTTAATCCATCTGAACTGAGTGAGGTGGAGCAGTGCTGTGGAATGGAGCCACAATCCATGGACTGAGCTCAGTAGAAGTAGGAGCTGACAGCCACAGCGACCTTGACATTGTAAATCCTCAGTGCCTTCCTCCCCTTCACCCTTCATGGGATTGGCAGAAATCTCAAGGATGACACTGGACTTCCTAGAGCGTCAAGGCCATCTTCTCTAGATCCTAAAAGACAGGGGCACCCTGGGTGCATCTGAGTCACACTTATATAATAATGTCCCTTTCCCCCTTGACCTTGCCAACCACCATTTTGCTAACCCGTATGCAACCACAACTTTTGGTGAGGGTTTCCGTTTGTAAGGCAGTAGAGTATAGTGGGGATTCTAAAACCAGAAACGTTGTGTTTGGAGCCGGGCTCTGCCACTTACTATGTGGCTGTGGACACCTTATTTCACCTTTCTGAGCTTCGGTTTATTCATCTGTAAAATGGGAGGTTGATATTAACCCACTACCTCATGGAGCTTTGGGGAGAATAAATATAGTACTGTATAGAAAGTACTCACATAGTGTTTGAGGAGTGAAGAAATAAAATGGAGTTGTTACCATCAAGCTGCTCAATTATTAAAATTAAGTAGGCTGAGGCGGGAGGAAACAATTACTCTTGTTCTGACTGACTCTGGGAACTTAAAGCTTTGAACTTTCCAGTCCTGCGTCAGTACCTGGATGGGCACCAGTGCGTTGTGCGTTAATGCCTGGCCGGGCATCAAACCTTCCATTAACCCTTTGAATTACCTCAAGAAGAAACTGTGCCATTGTCTAGACCACCAGACCTCAGACAGCCACCATCGTGGACCAAGCCGGGGGCCAAGAGTGCAGACCTGGATGTGCTTTTTACTATTAAGAACCCCCAGCTTTTTGTTCTCCTGTGGAACACGCTGGGAATTGCCTAGTTGGGTCTCCAGTTTGCAAACCCTAAGACCCTTGAGTAAATCTGTGTCATTTATCTCTGCCCAAAGCTGCCTGACTCTTTTGGCTCAGTTCACAGTGTTCATTAACTCTTACTGACGCCCCTGCCTCAGTGCCTGGGAGGAATGCAATAACTGGTATCGCTGATGATTTTAAGGAGGCCTGTGGATGCCTGACCTCCGCTCCAATCTACCAGAGCCTTGTGTATCTTGGTTCAGAGAGACGCAGAGCTTTCTTCTCAGGTCTTAGCCACTACCTGCCCTTCAGTTCCTGGGACGCGAAAGAACCGGGTGAGCCCCACGCTGGCACCCGGGCATTCTCCAAGGGAGTGGGATGGTTCCCTGCAGCTCACTCCTCCAGGAATTAGCGCCCCAAGCACAGACGTGCTGCTGAGAGGAGAGTGGAACTGTCCTCGTAAAGGGAAGGTGGTGCTTTAATGGGCTCTACGTGAAAGGAAAGGACGTATCGCTGTTGAGGCGGCTGAGGCAGGCACGAGCTGGAGCGCAGGGCTGGCTCTGGAGCAGGGTGGGCAAAGCTGGCTCTGGAGCCAGGTGGGTGAGGCGGCTCTGGAGCCAGGTGGGTGAGGCGGCGCCCGCTCCTCAGCACTCCGCCTTCGGCTCTGCCACTTTCTCTTCTGTGCTCTGGCTGGGATGCACCTGGAGAACCTGTGCTTTTCCGATGTACTCTGCGAGAAGGGGAGACACAGCCGGCGGAGAGGAGGGGAGGGGCCAGGCCCTACCTGGAGCTGCCCAGGGGATTTGGGGGGGGCCCCCTCTCCCCAACAGGCCCCGGGCAGATGTGCGAGAGCAGAGGGAGATGCAGGAGGGCCAGTCAACCCAGCTTCTGCTCTGGGCTCTGCGGTGACGAGGAGCTCAGAGCCTCACTACATCCAGGAAACAAATTTCAATGAAGTGCCTACTCTATGCAGACCCCCCGCCAGCCACTCAGGACCCTTTGCAGGCTAGTGGGGGAGAATATAGTACCTGGAGATACCTGCCTGTTCTCCCCTCCCACCCCTGCTCTCCTCCCCTGCCTTGGTCTCAGGCACCAGAGTGACTGTCGCAGCCTCCTCCCTCATCTCCCCCTACGCCCCCCCCCCCGCCCCCAAGATTCCCAGTGACCCCTAGAGCCTGGCACATAGGCACTAAATGAGTTTCTGCTGAATGAATGGATGGATGGGCAGAGACCTATCTCCCAGGAGCCTTACATCCCCCAAGGAATCCAGCGAGGGTGGGCCTTGGTGAGCCTGCAGGGATCTGCCGCACGGAATCTTACCTGGTTTTTCGCTTTTGGGAAGAGGCGGTGTCTTTGACTTCTTTGGGGATTGGCTATAACCAACACAAAGGAAAGGAGGTCCGGGACGGTCAGGATGGACCGCACCATAGCAGAGCAGCAGGTGGGCGAGGAGGTGAGGAAGGTGCTCCCGGAAGAGGAGCAGCCAATCCTCCCTGAGAACCAGCAAGCACTACCCAAGCCAGACCCTGACAACTGTGACTCCATCGCCTGCAGTGCCACAGGGAGCCAAGGCCCTCCTGCCCCGGGAGCTGTGAGGGAGGCCACTACAGCCCCCCACCCCACCCCCCGGCCCCTTCTTGGCCTCACAGACAGGAAGCCTTCCCCTGGGAATGGAGGAGCCGAGAGCCTGCTTCCCTAATGAAGTGTTTACAAGCATGAATAATGCTCTCGTATTATCTTGTATCGACTTTACACTTCAGCAAGCCTTTTTACGCACCTACGCTCTGGGAGAGGGGCTTTTGAGAGGTACAACAGGTTCAGAGATGGGAGGTGTCTTGGCCAAGGTCACAGTGAAGTCTGCCTTTCTCCTGGGCCTCCCCCGCCTCCCGAGCGGCAAAGAAACCACGTGCAGGGCCAAAGCGAGCACCCACACCTGTAACAGACCTAAGCGACCCCAAGCCCGCCACGCGCCAACCACCCCAGAACTCAGCATCCCCGAAAGTGTGCACATCACTTCCATTCCGGACACTTCCTACCCTCTCCTTGGCCTGTTCACATCCTCTTCGGCCAGCAGTGCTCTCCAAGTTCTATCAGGAGTGCTTGGGTGATGTTACACGCACAGCCCCTGTGTGGGCCCCCGCCCCCCCAACACCTGTGTGTCAGACTCTAGGAATTTTCACTTGTAACACACTCTTCTGTGGATCTGAGCACTGCTGGGCGTATCAGGTAGGCGAGCCCAAGCCTGGTCCCAGCTCTTCTGCCGACCGGCCAGGTGTCTATGGGTCATTCAATTCTTTCTGAGCCTCAGTTTCCTCTGGAGGTCATAGGGCCTCCATGGGTGGTTGTGCAGAGCACCAGCGACGTCAGGGAGATAGAATGGGTGCTCAATACTGCAGGTTCCAGTGCTGACTTGTCAGACCCTACTCACCTGCTTTGTGAGGCCTTTACCCTCCCTTTCCCCACCTTGGAATTAATCTCTTTCTCTCCAGCCACCCAGGGTGCTTAATACCGACATAAAGGCACTGCCGCCTGCCTGTGTTAGCATCCCTTCTCTACCGTGTCCTCCCAAAGAGCTCCTGGGGGGCTAGCTGATAGCTGCGGCTCCTCCAGCCCTGTCTGGCTGCAGCTGACACAGGTCACCCCCTCAGGCACCCCACGGCTGGCGGCTGAGTCTGGTCTGGCAGAGAGGGCCTCTGAGCAGCCAAAGAGCCTGGAGGGTCCCATGGCGGGGGCTGACCTCTTCCTCCAGGACAGGCTGTCAGCCGGCTCCAGCCAGTGCCAGGCTCCCTTCCCCGCACCCCACTAGCCTCACCTGGAAGGACAAGTGCTGACCATGAGGGAGCAGTTCTGGGCACAGAGGGGCAGGTGCGGGGTGAAGCCCACCTGTAGGTTGGCTGTTGCCTCTCCTGAGATGGCTCTTGGACATCTTGGAGCTGGTTTAGAAGTTTTTCGGTTGGGATAGAGACCAGACCCTGGGGAAGGAGCTGAGCCACTGCCGTCTGCAGGAGCCCCAGCGCCAGCGCTTTTTCTGTAAGCACAGGGAGCAGGGTCCTCAGGGGCATGACCCAGCCCCCATCCTGTCGCCAGATGGGACCTGCAGGCAGCAGGGCCTCCGGCTCTTCTGCCCACCCCGGCCCAAGGCAGCTTCTCAACCATCTCATATTCTGCCCACAGGGCCCCATGGGCAGGTCCTGCTTCTCCCTGGACCCTGTGTGTGCTGCGTGCCCAGCCCCTCCAACCTCCCTCGTGTGTACCGTGGCCTTGGCCCGCCTGCCCACAACACCCCTTGGCCCACTCTGGGAACCCTATAGGGGACCTGGCCCTCTCCTCCCCTTACTCTCCCCATCAGGAAGCCGCCTCCAATCTCTGGCTCTCATCACTCCTCACCCTCCTTTTTAGACATACCCTCTCCTCCGTCCCAGTGCATACATACATGTCCATTCTTATGTCCATGTGTGTTCTTATGTGCGTGTATCTGCATCTGTGTGTGTGTGTGTGTGTGTGTGTGCATTTCCCACAGTGGTGGGTGAAGGGGCCTGTGTCTGCTCAGTCTGGGCTTTGGACTCTCCCTCCTGGGTGCAGTCAGCGTGGGGGAGGGGTCCCCTGTGAGGAGCAGGGTCATGGAACCCTACTGAGGAGGGGGTGGGGGAGCAGCGGAGCCCCGCTGGGAAAAGTTAGCTCGGGCCGGAAAGGAGAAAGGCTCCGGCGAAGGCAGGGTGGGCGCCGAGCGACCTCTGAGTCCTGCAGAAGCAGAGGGCCGGGCCCTCGGCAGCCTCCACTCAGAGGCGGCCCCGGGCCTGGGGCTGTGCCTCACCCTTGGGAGGAGCGTAGAGGAGCCAGAACTGGATAGCAGTCAACGAATCTGTTTGCAGGATCTGACAAAGGAGCTCCAAGATCTGTGGGCAGGAGGACAGGCCTGGGTCAGTGTGTGGACGGCACCTTCCAGCCAGCAGCTCAGGTGCCTGCCCTGAAGTGGGCTCCCAGGGCCACGTGCTTGGTTGAACTGGTCCTCGCAATGGTCCTCCCCCCGCTGCCCCCCAACTCTGCGTGGGATACGCTGGCTACAGAGGGCTTGCTCTCCCAAGGGCCCTGGAGGAAGGCTCTCCGCCTCCTCACTGAGCAGGTAAGGAGGCTGAGCTATGAGAGAGGGGCCACCCAGCAGGGAGACTGAGGCAGCACTAACCCTCGGAGTCAGAGCTGTGGGCCCTTATCTCCGAGCCCTGCGTGGGGGGGGGGTTGTACCCCGGAGTCCCTCCCTGGGAAGGCCAAGTCAGAGCTGCACACTCAGCTCCTCAGAGACGCACCGAGTCCCAAATGCCCGAGTCCTTGGTGGGGGGATTTCAGGGTCCCCACGAGCCTCCCCACCCTGAAGTTCCCAAATTCAGAGTCTGGAGAAGCTAGCAAAGAGGCGGGCTGCTCCCAGTGGGCGGCCCGAGGGCTGGGGCCAGCGGGCTCTGCAAACTGCACGGTTCGGAGCTCCTTCCCCGCTTTGCTCGCAGCCCCGTCCTCAGCCGTGGCCACCTTTGCTGCGTCAGGGCCCTTCTTCCTCTGCGCTCTCCAGGCAAGGATCGTGTGGAAAAGATCCAGCTCTCTCTCGAATGCGCTACGGGGGCTCTCTAGGCGGGGGTGCTGGTGGCCGCGGTGGCCGCTGGGGCTAAGGCTGGCTGGAGGTTGAGGCTGCGATGGGGGGTGGAGCACCTGGCGTCCTAGGAAAGTGGGGTTCCCTCTTTGAGGAGAGCCCACCTGAACCAGTGGCGGTCAGAGGGGAACGTGGGCTCACCTCTCCCCAGGCCTGTGCCTGCTAGGGTGTCCACCCTTGCCCTCAGGTCCCCACCCCATACGGTGACCCCAGCCCCACTCTGCCCCAGGGTCCTTCTCAATTCACCACTTCCAACTTACCTGCCCTTTGCACCCTCCCCAAGGAACCCGAGAACCTACTTCCAGGCAAGGTGAGGCCGCCCTACGGTGGAGAAAGTACTGTGTTCTAGTCCCAGCTACGCTGCTCGCTCTCTGGGGACCTGGGCCACAGTGTGGCACCTGGAAGAGCCTCAGCCTCCCCATCTGTGGAATGGGGGATCCCGGGCCCTGTCTGCTCTGTTCACCTCACTGGACTGTTTTGAAAGCACTGGTCACAGGAATGGTGTCAAGAAGCTGGCTCATTGTCTGGCCTTTCCTGGAGAACGTGCGTGCATTTAACAAGGACTTACTTTCTTTTTTTAATCCTCACCCGAGGATATTTTTTCCATTGGTTTTTAGAGAGAGTGGAAGAGAGAGGGAAAGACAGAGAAACATCAATGAGAAACACATCGATTGGTTGCCTCCTGCATGAGCCCCTACCAGGGCCTGGGTTGAGGAGGAGCCTGCAACCGAGGTACATGCCCTTGACTGGAATTGAACCCGGGACCCTTCGGTCCGCAGGCCTATTCTCTATCCACTGAACCAAACCAGCTAGGGCTTAACAGAGACTTTCAATGCCTTAACCCCCTGGAACCATCGTGGCCTCGTCTCAGACCTTGATGGGAAACTCGAATGTGGAGGTGGGCAGCTTCGTGCCTTGTCCCAGCACAGAGCAGATCCTCTTAGGGGAGACGAGGCTGGCACCGGCCTTGCAGGCTGCAGGGTACCCACCCCGGGGTGCAGTCTGAGGACACACTAGGTGGGACCTTCCACTCCATGCATCTCATCCTACCACTGCAGCTCCCTTCAGGAACTCGCCAGTGCCAAAGCTGGAACAGACTTCAGTGGTGACATGTTTATGCTCCCAGTTTGACTGGATCATGGAACCAAGGCCCCTTGAGGGGAAAGGACTTAACAAAGAGGAAAGGGCTTACACCTGGAAGCCTGAGGGATTAGAATCCAGGCCCCTGACTCCTAGGGCTGTAGTTTCTGAATCTTACAGTCTCAGGTGCAAGTATCCCCGGGAGAGGCCCCACTTTCCAGCAGCTTGTGAGAGTCCTAGCCGGGATCTATAAGCCTGGGGGTATACCACCCTGTTCTCTGCCATCAGATAGGGCTGCTCTGAGGCCCCATCCCCCGGCCTGCCCAGGCCACGGCCTGCCCAGCCCATCGCCTTCCCAGGGTCTCACCAGCAGCTCCTGATCCTGCAGGACGAAGGCCTGGATGCCATCTCTGCTTGAAGGGTGGTTCCCTTGGCCCTGGTGGGAGTGGCGGCTGCTAAGGGCTCGAATGGAAGCAGGGATGAGCCTCCCAGTCTCTGCAGAGTACTTGGCACCCTGCTCCCGCTGAGGCACCTCCTCCTGGAAGAAAAGTGGTCAGAGACTCGGGAGGTGAAGTGGGGAGGGGAGAGAGAGAGAATAGATGATAGATAGATAGATAGATAGATAGATAGATAGATAGATAGATAGGAGACAGAGGGAAGAGAAGAGAGAGGAGAGGAGAGGAGAGGAGAGGAGAGGAGAGGAGAGGAGAGGAGAGGAGAGGAGAGGAGAGGAGAGGAGAGGAGAGGAGAGGAGAGGAGAAGAGAAGGAAGCTGGCTCACATCTCCAGGGCGCCCATCACCTCCTCTCCTGGAACCTCAGCATCACAGCATTGCAGGGACCCAGGATGTGGACCAGGCCAGCCCCACACTGTCCTAGACCCCTTTCCCCAGCAGGGGGCCCTTCCATACAGCCAAAGCTCTTCCTCCTGGAACTTCATTGAATGCTGGCCTCCTACCTACTCCCCCATCCCCTCTTCACTCACCATGGTCCTGGGCAAGTCCTCTTTGCTATCCCTCCCCCAAGCTCATCAAAGATTTGAAAACAGTATTCTATGCCAAGCCCCTCACCGCCCTCCCCCCCCCCCCAACACACACACACACCTACCTTAATTCCTAGCTCAGTTGCCCCCAGGTCTGTCTCACACAGCTTGGCATTCTCTCTTAGCCCCGGGAAACCCTCCTAAGCCAGGCCAATGGGCACAAGGCCTGGGGCCTCTAGACCCTGCAACTTCAATGAAGACTGGTAGCATCCTTCTTCCCCTTTTAAAGAAGAGAAACCTGAGGCCCAGACTGCTGCCCCAAGAGCTGCAGTGACTGACGTAGCTGCAGAGCAGGGATGAGAATTCTGCTGCCCAGCACAAGCGCAGAATGAGACTCATTCACAAAGGGCCAGGCCTGTCCTAGGACCAATTCCTACGACCTTCAAGCTGCCCCCCACTTGTCTTTACTGGTCAGCAAATAGTTCCCACGAGGCCACCCCAATACTGTCTGAAAACCTGCAGTGACTCTCCATTCCTTATGAGATTAGACACTTACACTAAGTTCGGCCCCTTCCCACCTTCTCCTCCGCTGCTGCCCACTAGGCCCTGCACTTAGCTCCTCGCTCTCTAGAGGGGTCCTGTGTTCCTGGCTTCTGAGCTGCGTGCCTCCACTAGGATGCCTCCCCTGTCCACCTCTGGACTAAGAACCCTTCTTGGATTTCTCCTCTTGGGTATGTTCTCTGATCCTTCGAGCCCTCACTGCGGCCCTTGGGTTGGTACTTGTTGGCTCCTCCTCCTCCTCAGTGCAGACAGCAGCATCTCAATGAGCACTTGCTCTCCGGCTGGTCAGTGTGGTCAGACTTGGGAATGATTTTCGTACAAAGAGATGGTTCCATTTCATCTCTTCCCAGGTAGCTCCTTTGCTCTGCACCCACCTCTTTGTTCTTCGGCTCATTCTCCTTGCTGAAGATGACCACCTGGGAAGCCAGTTCCTTCAACTCCTTCTTCCAGGCCTCTGGGGGGAGGGGACAAGATCCTGGCAACTGCTGTCTGGGCCCCTCCTCCTCGCCCTCCCTGTGGCACCAGGTGTTGGGGATGCTGTGGGTGGAAGAGCCTCCTTTCCTCCCAGCCTTCCATCTGCATCTTAAAGGGGAGGGGAGATGGTGCCCTCCGGGAAGAATTAGGCATCACACCATTGGTGGGTGGAAGGGTGGGTGTGGAGGGGGCCCTTAATGTCCTAGCCTATGATTTTATGGGAGACATTGGACCATATTTGGTTATTTGTGCCAAAATGCAAGTGGTTTAATCTAGCTTTGCCTCTTTTAGGAAACTGAAGCCAAGATTGAGATTCAGTTGCTATGCAGTGCCAGTTACTAAAATATGGAACTGCTCCTGGAGAGGGCGGTACAGAGCACCAAGCAAGCCTCCCAAACAAACCTCTGCCCTGCAGGCTGTCCCAGCCCCTGCCCCGCACCCCTAACAGAAAGGGCACAGCCCACAGCCCGCGGAGCAGAGGCTCAGAGCGAGCCGTGGTGCTGTGTATGGCTGCCTGTTCTGATGGCTGGTGCCTGAGTACAAGTACTAATAATTTCCAGTATCATTCCTCTCCGGCCTGAAGTCACACGACTGGCCCAAATCTGCTTGTCCTCTGCTGTGGTTACTCCTCAAACACCTCAAATCCAAGCAGGGGCACATTGCTGAGATCTTGGGGTTGGCAAATAATGCAGATGCCAAAGCTGGAGGAAATGAGGGGGAAAACGGGGTACCTGACCAGATCCCACTTCCTTCTCAGGCACCCACCCAAGCGGTGCAGCCCTTGGGAAGAGGTGTAGCCCCAAGGTAGAGGTCTGTGGCCCCAGCACCCACCTGGCTTAAGCCGGGGATCCCGATTGGACTGTGGGTCTCCAATGGGGACAAAGAGGGCAGGCATCCCCATCAGAGAGGGGGAGAAGAGTGCAGTTTGAGGCAAGGAGGTCAGAGAGAACCTGTCCTTGACGACACAGACGGGCTTCCCGGTGAGATCTGTGAAGGGACAGAGGCCGTGGGAAGGGGTGGGTGCGTGGACCCCAATAGCTCCAGGAGGCTGGACTGGTAGAGCACTTCCAGTAACCAGAGCCCGTAGATCGTTAGAGCGTGGAGAGACTCTGCAGCCACCTAGACGTTACCCCCGGGGCACTTAGAATGGACAGCGAAGGGATGGGCTCAGGGTCGGGCTCAGGGTCACGCAGCAAGTTGGGCTTCCTGCGACCCTCATCCTGAGGTCCTGTGGGCTTTCGATGACAGCAATGACTGCAGGTGTGAGCAGAGAGAGGTAAGCAGCCTCAAGAGGGACCCCTAGGTGTGGAGAGGGACCTGGGCTCAAACCACAGGGAGTGAGATTTAGCTAAACTCCCTGGATGAAACATCTCGCCATCTGTCAGCTTGTGCAGGGCCGAGTGCCGGGTAGCCTGGAGGCAGTGGCAGGCGGTTTACACAGGAGGACCCTTCGGCCTAAGGTCTGTGTGATATTGTTACTACTGGACAGTTACGCTCTGAGGACCAGCCTGAATGGGGAAGAATGGTTGCTCACTGTCTCCTTCCCCAAACAATTTCCTTTTGGACCCCTCACTGTCCTGGCTCATCCTGGCTCACCAGCCACTCCTCATTCCCGCTGCTGCGTACTCCTCACAGCCTCTTAGCCTTGGGGTCCCTGGGACTCCGTCCCCAGGTTCTCATCTCTTGTATCTACACAGTCTCCTGGATGAGCCCATCAAGGCGCCACTTCAAACACCATCCGTACCTGAATCGCTCTCCTGTTTGTTTCTCCCCTGAACTCCAGACCCAATTGCCCCCCCTGTGCCTCCACCTGGATGTCTAAAAGGGTCTCGCATTTTGCATCTCTCAGTCCTAGACCAAACTCTTGACTCGTCTCCTCTCCTCCACTGGTCCCCTCTGAAGTCTTTTCGTCCCAGTTTTCCAGTTCCTCAAGCCAAAAACCCAGGAGTCAACATTGATCCCCCTCTTTCTCTCACACTATTTCTAATCAATCAGCAAATCCTGTTGGCTTTACCTTCTGCATATCTCTGGAGCCGGACCACTAACTCTTCCACCTCTACCTCCCTGGTCCAAGCCACCATCCCCACAGAGGCCAGTAGATCACGCCTGATACGTGTTTGCTCTCAGCTTCTCGGTGGTTCTCAGCCGACTCAGTGAGATGGCTTAGTGACGACTGCAGTGGCCTGGGCCCTCACTGCCTCTCTGCTGCACCTCCCTTCTCTCCTTACTCGGCTCCAGCCACATGGGCTTCCTTGCTGCTGGGCCTTTGTACTTGCTGTTCGCTCCGTCCTCCCTCCATCCCCCCACATCCACATGATTGATTCATGCTCTCTCTTCTTTTAGTTCTTTGCTTAAAAGTCATGTTTCTTGGTCATGTCTTCCCTCTGTAGCCTTGGCACTTCCCACGCTCTGACACCTCATCTATTTCCTATTCTTCCCCACCAGAGAGTCAGCTCCCTGTCTTGGTCATTGTCATATTCCCAGGGTCCAAAAAAGTGCCTGACTCGGGCACAGTTCACACTCAGTAGATACCTGAGGATGAAATGGCCTGTGTTTATGAGCTGAGTGCAGCTCAGAGGCAAAACATTCATCCCTTTCTCTGGTTTGTGAGGCGGGAGGACCCGCAGCAAGGGAAACCCTGTGGGGACATGTAGTCTGCCCCTGGAGCCTGCCCCCCAAGGCAACTCTTGGCTTGGTCAAGTGCTTGCAAGTGGCCAAGCCACTCTGTGACCCTGGCTAAGTCCCCTTCCTCTCTGGGCCTCACCCTAGAAATAGAGGCTGGGTCCTCCCTTTCCAGGTTTTAAGAGCACCCCTCCTCCACTGCCCACCAGGCCCTGGCCGACCCCAGCCCTACCTTTTTTTTTTTTTTAACCGTATTAAAATGTAATTTTTTAATTGTTTTTACTTTTCAGTAAAATTAATACTTGTGACAAATCTTCCCTGAAATTATGAATTAATTGCTCAGAGTTAACAAGAAATGGATTCTTCCATTAAATTTATAAAATATTTAGCTTGTAAGAAACAATTTTTTTTATTACACAGCATTCAAAGATTATAAAGCTGTCTTGAGATTTCAAACTGAGAAATCTATGCAAGAGTTTTAAAAAGTGCATTATTAAATATAAAGCTGTCTTGAGATTTCAAACTGAGAAATCTATGCAAGAGTTTTAAAAAGTGCAATATTAAATATTAATATACACATACTCCAGACCCCAATTCCATTTAACATGAATATTAACCTTTCTGTTTAATTCCCTCTGCTCCCCCCAATATGGCATGACTTTGTAGAGCAGTGGTTCTCAACAGGAGCACCTTTGCCATCCAGCACACATTTGGCATCAGTAATAACTGTGACTGTGATGGGGGGGTGGGTACCAATGGCAAATAGTGGATAGAACCCAAGGATGCCGCTAAATGTCCTTCAATGCACAGGATGAACCCCCGCAACCAAGAACTACCCAGCCCAAATGTTAACAGAACCAGCGGTAAGAACCCCTGTGATAGAGTATGACCCAATTTCCTTTTTACAAATAGTCTGTCCCCTGTAATTCTGAGAACACAGACTGATAGAAATCAGGACATATACCATTTAAATTAGGGGAGCAGGTCGAAGGTAACTAAATGGTGTATGTCCCAGCCCTACCTTTGATGTGGGTCACACGATGGGGGTGGGGGTGATGCCGGGAGAAGAAGGAGTTGTGGCTGAGGCGGCCGAAGTGGTAGGTGTTAGGGGATTCGGGCTTGGGATTCCTCAGTTCCTCTCGGACCACCTTGAAATCCACGATCCCTGGGACCACAGGTTCTTTCTGGGGCCCTTCGACCCCGTGGCTTCTTGGCTTGTGCTCTGACTTCTCAGCCTTTGGCTCAGCCTTTGGACTGAAGAAGAAGGTCAAGGAGAAGCTAATGAGGCCTCCTGGCAGCAGTGTCTGCCCCAGCTTGGGGCTTTTCAGAGTCCATTCCTGAGATACTCTGAAATGTGGTTTCCAGGGTTTCTCTGCCACCCGCCGGCCTCCAAGTTGGGCCTCCCACAGGGTCTCCTCCCGATTGGGACAATCCAGTCCCAGGGAGGCTTCTGTCTTCCTCAGGGGCCTTAGTAGGGAGCTGGAATCCATCTGAGAAAACTCAGGTAGAATTCCCCGGGACCCCAGCTTTCTTTCACAGACCATCTCTACAGCCAGAAAGAGAAGCTATAGACCCACCAGCCATCCAAATGCCTGGATTGGAGCAAAGACACATTATATACACCTCCAGAGCCAGAGGGCTGGCCCCAGCAAGGGCCTCTCCCCAAGCCAAACTGTTGGCTGCCCAAGAGAAGCCAGCTACAGGCTGTCACCCTCCCCCATGCCATTGGGGCAGTTTTGGCCCAGACACAGCATGCGGGCCAAAGCTGTCCCCAAGGCCAGATTACACCAGCAAGTCCTTGCCCCCTGGGGCCCTCCCAGGAGACGCCCAGCTGATGCTGCGGCTCTCAGAGCTGCGACGCTGCAGGGAAGCTTCAAGCTCTTGCTTCGCTTCACTGGAGACAAGCCGTCTCAGGTTCACTGTTCTCCACCCTGCACCCCTTCCCTTCTCAAGGATGCTGTGCTTTTGCCCCTGGAGGATGATGTCGAAGTCGGTCCAGCAAGGATCCAACGATGGGCTGGTCCTTGGTGCCTGGCTTTCCCTTCTCCCGGTGACCCTGGCTGGAGGGAGTCCCTCTCTGGTACAGATGGACTCTGGATATGCTAAGCAAGCTGTTCTGGACCCTCTGAGGAATTTGCTGACCAGGCCCCTGAGTTTCCCGTTCCATCCTCCGGCCGCCTCTAAGAGATCTGGGACTTAAAGAAATAAAGCAAACCTTCTCTGAAAGTCATAGTTAGCTGGCCTCCCCAAACCCCAACTAACAGAAGGTCACCACCTGAAAATCCCTGGAATTTCTGTGCTCAGTGCCCCTGGCCCCTGCCATCACATCCTCTCCCCATCCAGAGAGGGTGCCCACCTTCGACCTGTGGTACCTCAGGCCTGAGAAGCCAATCAGGGCCTAGTTGATGGCAGTGGGAGGTGAGGAAGGACTGCCTTTCTTGGACTCCCAGTCTGTTGAGTTCCCCTGAGGCCCCCTTTGTCCCTACCACCTCCTCGGTCAGCAGGGTAAGCATTTGGGGCCTCACCTCGCCCGGGGTGGTTCAGCGGGTTGGGTCTTCACCTCCGCAGCCATTGTATGGTTTCTAACAGAACAAAGATCCATGTTGAATATGTATCAGAACATCTTACAGACTGGCAGTGGGAAATCAACTGGAACAGACACTTTGGGAGAAAAGCATTGGCAATATCTTGCGAAATTGCATGTTTGCATGCTATATCACCCAGCAATTCCTCTTCCAGGTATATACCCAACAGCAACTCTCGCAGATGTACAACGGGGGCTCTATGTAAGCACAGTCAAGCTAACATGGTTCAGATTGGCAAGACCTGGGGACAGTCCAAATGTCCAATGGCAGAAGAGCGCATCAGGAAGCTGTGGTACATTCTGACAATGAGCCTTACACTGTAATTGAAATGGAGGAACCACTGCTACATAGATGAGTCCTGCAACTATAACGCTAAGATGAGGAAAGCAAGTGGCAAAAGACCATATGGCCTGAGATCCTTATAAAAAATAAAATTCAGAAGCAAGTAAAAGTATCATAAATATGTGATGAAACAAGAAAAGACAAGCAAGGAAATGGTAACCACAAAATTCAGCTAGTGGCTATTTCTGAGAGCAGGTGGGGAGGGAAGAGTTGGGAGAAGAGCACATAAGATGTGTTAGTGGTGATATTCTCGTTATTGGTTTGGGAGGTACACTTACGAGTGTCCATTATATTATTAAATAAACTAATTGATGTGGATGAAAGATGATAGGTGTCAAAGCCAAGAATGGTAATTGATCTAAATCTATGGACCCAAACGTATACACATATTCATATACCCAAAATGTTGGGGGGTTCAGGTGTCAGGATTAGAGTTAGTGCATTTTGAGAATTAACCCCCATAATTACAGAATCTGCAAGGGACCCCAGAGACCCCTCCAGGGCCAGCCTTTCATCAAGTTCAGATGGAGGAGGATGTAGTATTGCCTGAGATCAGGGAAGGGAAGAGATTTTGAGGTCAGGTGGCAAGAAACCAGACAACCTGACTCAAAGACTCCTGATCTTTTCTCTAAAAAGAAAAACAGAAAAACAAACAGCCAGGCCACTGTGATTCTGGTTGCGCATTGACCTGTGAACCGGGAGGTCACAGTTTGACTCCTGGTCAGGGCACATGCCCAGGTTGCAGGCTGAGTCCCCAATAGGGGGCGTGCAGGAGACAGCCTATCAATGAATCTCATCATTGGTGTTTCTATCCCTCTCTCCCTTTCCCTTCCTCTCTCTGAAATCAACAAAACTATTCAACAACAACAACACCACACCCCACAGAAACAAAACAAATAAAAACAAAACAAAAAACACACGAAACACAAAATAACCCAGAACAACAACAGAAAAAGAAAGACAGTTGGCAGAGCTTCCTCTGAAGGAAGCTTTGGACATTTGGACATGGTGGCGGGGGGGGGGGGGGGGGGGGGGGGCATGGGGGCTGCACTCCAGAGCACTTAGAGGCTGCAGGCTGGAGAACAGGGCATTTGGAAGCCCCCAACGCACCTGCCAACAGGCAAAGGTAGTCGTTAAAACAGAAACTTTCAAATGCTCCTGACTGTGACCATGGCAAGGAAACTTAATTTTTACATCATGCCTCCATTCACATACATGTGCACATGCTTGTGTGTATGTGAAACTGAAGCAATCCTTACCCTGCTATATAGGATGCTCACTGATAGTTTCATCCTACTTGTTTGCTTCTTGTAAGTGTTAGGCGTGATCCATTAAACTGGTTTTATAAGATCCTAAAGGGTCACACCCCCCAGCTGCTGTAAAGAGGTCCCACCTGTCTTTTCCCCGCCAAGTCCCTCCCCGCCGGGCCCCCAGCCAGCCAGGCACAAGGAGTCTGAACGCTCACTTCAAACCTAGGTCAGAACTTCCTTTCCCCATCTCAGCCCCTCTGGGCCCTCCCCCGGGCCCCAGACGGGCTCATGTCCATTTCCTCCCCTGGAAAGATCCCTGGACTCACCAAGGCAAACACTCACTATAGCATGAGGGAGAGAAGCTTCTGTGCCCCAACAGGAGGGAGCAAGAGGACAAGGGGAAGGCTTGGGGTTCTGTTGACAAGACTGCCTGCTTTGTGACTGCATAAGCCAGTGGTTGCTAGGTTACCCTTTCCCCACAACTCCAGAACCACTCCCCAGAACCCCTCTCCTCACCCCCACCCAGCTAGCTCCGCCTACCCACTGAAGACCCCCTCTCCCTCCAAGCTCCCTCTCCACCTCCCATTCAGTGCTTTCAATGGGACCAAAAAAGAGAATGAGAGGCAGGGGCTGGTTTCAGCCAGCGACCAGCAGGCAGAGAGGGAGACACTGGCAAAGACAGTCGGTCAGGCTGGGTCCCAGCTTTGTCAGTCTGACCGGCCCGATGCCACCGTGGAGGGCTCTGCCTCTCCGCATCCCGTTTCTGGGGACTGATGAGCAGAACGCTGTCCCTTAGATGGAGAGACTTGACCCAGAGTATCCCTCTAACCCAGCGGTTCTCAACCTGTGGGTCGCGACCCCTTTGGCGGTCGAACGACCCTTTCACAGGGGTCGCCTCAGACCATCCTGCATATCAGATATTTACATGACGATTCATAACAGTCGCAACATGACAGTTATGAAGTAGCAACGAAAATAATGTTAGGGTTGGGTCACAACATGAGGAACTGCATTTAAAGGGCCAGAAGGTTGAGAACCACTGCATCTAACCCCTCTGAGGTGGAATCGCTGGGTGAAAGATCCTGGGTGTTCAGTGGGGCCGGTTTCAAATAAATTCTGACTAGATGTGTCACTTGGGTAAGTGGCTTGTACTCCCAGATGCGGATCAGTGGTAAGAATGCTTGGTTCAAATCCCAGTTCTGTTCTTTCCTAGCTGTGTGGCCTCAGCCTATGGACTTGATGTCTCTGAGCCTCAATTTCTGTATCTCTGAAATGCAAGCGATACTTCCGCTTATTCTCACAGGATTGTTGGGAAGATTGAGTGATTGATTGTACATTAGAGTGTTTAGAACAGTGCCTGGCACCACGTCGGCTCTCTTATTGTTATTACCTTCTCTGGGCCTTTAAAATGGGGTACTCTCCCCTAGTTCTGGGGTCCTTCTGGACAAATGAGGTAATGGAAGTGATGCACCTATATGACTATATGCTTGGCACATAAGAGATGCTAAAAAATTCATGGTATCTTTATTGTTGGTATGTTGAGGGAGGCAGGACTATAAGGTGGGATAGGTGTGTAGCCTGAGGCTGCTTTGGGGAAGTAAGCAGTTCTCTGAGCTCAGCGTGGACAGCTGTAAACTGGGGGTAAGGACAGTGCTCAGTCCACAGGGCTGTGGTGAGATGAGGCTGCGAGGGTGCAAGCAGGTTCGTAAATCACAGAAAGGTTTGCACGAAGTGCTTGATGCTGTCCTAGCGGTGAAGCCTCTGGCCCTTAAAACTGATGGGGGTGGGCCTACTCCAGGGTCTTTATCCTCACTCCCCCAGCCTCATATTAGCGGCCGGATGCTTCTAGACTCGCTGTCTTCCTCTTCCAGTGGCTGCTGGTTGCTGGGGAGGAATAAAAGGAAGAAGGACAGCCAGAGGCAAACCCAAGTCCTTCTGCTGAGGGGTGGGGATTCATACCACATCAGGGAGTGGCCTCTGACCTTGGCCTTGCCCTAAGGCTTCTCCAGAACGTTCCCCATTTAAGCTCTGGCTTTACCTGGGCTGTCTCAGCAGGAAGGAGGTGAGCCTTTGAACCCACCCTGAAAGCCCCTCTTCCATGCTCTGGGCCTCCTGCTGACAGTTATGATGAATGACAACATGTCTGAAAGCAAAGAGGGCTTTCTTCCCGCCTGACCAGCCCCTCCCTGTGGCTTTGCACTCACTTGGGGAGCCCCCACGGCGAGCTGACACAGCTGAGAGTAAAAGCCACTGTCACCCTCCCCGTTGCACCTCCTAACCCTTCGATGGTATTATTTAGAACTGGACCCCGATCTGCATGCGATCGCAGCTGGAAGGACAAAGGGGATACTTTAGGGACTGCCCTCAACACTGGTTTGTGAGGATCATTGAGGAAACCTTCTGACATCTTTCTTCGTGGCGTGTCAGAAACAGGAGAGAGAGTCTGTCTGCCGGGAAATGGTTTGCAGTACAGTCCTCCTGCCTGCTGCCGCGGTTATAAGAGGAGCAATATAAAATTTTATGGAGCCCTGCTCGCCAGGCACTGTGCTCTATTATCTCATTTAACCCTACACATGAGGGAACTGGCGACCGGAGAAATCCTCAGTGATATGTGTTGCTAATATACTAGTATTCTCCCCTCTGGGGCTTGCTCTTCTGTCTCCAAATGTAGTCTTTTGATGGAGATGATGCTGAGAGAGTAAGAACAGCACCAAATGTTAGACAGGTGGGGTCAGACCGGCCCTCGGTTCAGCAACCTCAGTACTTGAGTTCTGGTTAAGAGTTCAGAGCCAAGGCTCAAACTATAAAGTTTATTTAGAAAGTCACACAGGTAAAAAGAAGTGAGTGGTAGAAGAAATGGGCTTAGGAGAAAGAGAGAGGCCAAGAAAATGCACCTGGGGGAAGAGGCTGGGAAAGGCGCTGGTGTGCTCCCTAGAGAGAGCCACACTGGTCCTCAGTCATGAGGGAGTTTATCTGGAGGTCTCAGGGGAGAATCCATTAGAATATTCATCAGCTTTCCAGGTGTGTCCTTCTAGGGTTGTGGTCTCTACTGATTGGTCAGTACCAGGGCAGGGGGACATTAGTCAATGCAGCTGGTCCTGATGTCAGCCATGGTTGCTTGTCTGGTTTTGCTGCTTTTCTGAGCCTGGAGCTGAAACACAACGGAGGCCTTGATGTATATGATGCTGGTCAGAATGTCATTGTCCTGGGGCTTAATGCTTAAGGCTATTCTCTCATCCTCTTGTTCGTCCAGCTTAGGGCCTCTAACCCACGTGACTAGCAACAAGCCAGGAAGGAAATCAGTCAGGGAAGGGTCCCTACAGCATGACCAGCCATATGAAAGGTCAGGAGGTCTAACTCACATGACTAAGCGATATGCTAGGGAGGAAAGGTTATCCTGGGGGG